CAAATTTAAAAGTAAATAAATTCAACTTAAGTAAAATAAGTATATAGATTTCCAACTGAACTTATTAATCTCCACTTTGTGTTGTTTATTTTCCTTTATCGAACACCTTGACAACCCTACAATGTTTAGTATAATCTCGACTATGCAAATGGCAAATAGCTGGCATTTCAAACGCGCTAACACCTGCTGGAAGGCTTAACCAAACAAGCCAGTTGCCCCATCAGCCAGCCACGCCCACCAGGGCTTAAACTCCAACCCCATTTGCCACGCCCCCGCCTAACCCCCTCTATCCCTGTATTTGCTTCTGCCTTCTATCAGTGTCGTTTTGTTATTTATCCTGCGTGCCTCTTGACGCCTTTGGGGCATGCCACTTAACACACATCGACCGCTGCTCCTGCCACGCCTCTTTGTTGGGAGCGGATAGGTTGGTGAAGGAGAAGCGGGGGAGCGCAGTAGGTGGAGTTAACTGTAATCTTTTCTTGAGCTCTGCGTGCAATGCGTCGCGTTATTTGCTTTTCATTCCTTTTTTTCGCTTGTGCTGCTTTGCTTTCTGCTTTTTTAATTTATCATGTCTATTTGCTTAGTGTTTGAGCCTGGCCCCTGGCGTGTACTACAAGTACGGAGTCCTTTTTTCTTTCTTTTTTTCTTGTATTTGTATCCTAGCTGCGAGTCCTCGCTCCTTCCCCTGTTCATTTGTTATCGCTGTTTGCCTGTGTTGCTCTTGCAGCTTTTCACTTTTGAATGCGGCGGAGGATTCACTTTTAACTCCTTTTGGTTTTTTTTTCTCGGTTTTTCCACTTAGTCGATCGGGTTTTCTTCTAAATGAAAGTTTTCCCCAGCTTTTCGGATTTGGTTTACACTCTTTACACTCTTTTTCCAGTATTTTTACTTTACCCTTACCCCGCGATTTATCCTTTTACATCAAGTAACCGCAACGTGGCCAGATTTTGCTGCTGCTGCTAGTTTGATTAGGTTTCAGCACTAATTGAAAATCATCGAATGAGGTTTTCTCATCAGCATGTGTCTGGGTAATTTGTTGTCTTTTAATTAATTTATGGTGAGTTTTATTAGCGAAAGATGCGGTTACCGCTGGCAAATTGAAAATTCAATTATTTAACTACGTAGCTGAGATGGAGTTCAGAATTTCATTTCCTTACTCTCAGTAATAAAATATTTCTATCGAATAATTTAAGAATGGCAATTAAATGGTCCTGTAATTTGAGGAATATTTCTTTAAAAGGCCTGCCTTTGGGCTATTTATCTTTGCCAACTCAAAACTCGCTTTCTAAACAAACCACGAACAACAATGCAAACAAATGATGGCAAGACCCAGATAGAGATTCTGGCCCTAGCTCAAGACACTCGTGGCCACAAATTAAATCAAATTCCTCGAAAGCCAGAAGGGAAGATAAAGACCAAGGCGGAAGCCAGGGAGATTCATCAGTACAACCCACACATACACACACTGAAACCCACAACAAACACAGAGTTACAGAGTTCGTGACAGTGACAGGACATCTTATTTAATTTCCAGGGCCCAGGACCTGATTCCGCATCAGAGAACTGGAAACCGAGCATAACATTAATTTTTGTTAATCTATTTTCAAGTTGCTCTGGTCAGCTGCAGCTGTGTTCCCCTTTTTCCTTGGCCCGCAACTAAATATGCTGTCATTAATTTAAAACTTACACAAACAAACCGAAAACTTCTCTACTGCCTGGCTGCCTGACTGTCAGCCAGCCGCTTCTGGTAGCCCTCTCTCTAGAGTTATGTTCATTAGCAGTGAAACGCCGAGGAAGATGGCCAGAATTTAGTCGGAATTCCTAATGAGCATGAGCGGGCAAATCTAACCCAAATATGTCAAGACGATGGCTGGCATTTTGTATGCCCAGTTCTGGTGCTGCTGCTGCAGGGTGCATTGCTCCAAGAGGGTCAGCAGGTGGGCAGGCACTGAGGGAAAAAGTTGATAACAGAATTTATAATTTAAATTATAATTCTTAGACTACCAGATTGTAGAAACAATTTCTTAAAGGTAAAAATAAGATTTTTGGGTTATTATTTAGAAACAGCTTTCTCAAACTTCCTCCCCAATTTCTCTCAGTGCCCATGTGTGTGCGCAAAGTGGGTCTCTTCAGTTTGCTATGCATGTGCTAAAGTGTTGATACAAGTTACTCTGGCCATCCGCACCTCATCCCCCGTAAACCCTTCGCTGCCGTAGCACACTGACACACTATCCATGTGAAGAAGTCCCTGGCTTTCTCCGCTCTGTCTATCTGTCTCTGTCTCACTCAGCTAGTCACAAACCACAGAGCGAGGAGAGACGGGGATTCCCAGGACCTCGAGAGTTCAGACAGCTGAGCACGTAGCATGACGAGTTGACAAAGTGCATCACGGGGCATGATGCAGCTTCTCTTCTTCTTGTTCTTCTACATCTCGGTGTGTTTACACAGCTCGAAAAATGTGTTTTGTTTGTGTTTGCTCTCATTTTGGGAATTATATCGCACATTAGCAAATTAATTTGCACTAAATTACAAAATACCTGCCTAATGGCGTTTTAAATCAGAGCATCATGACTGACTCTCTCCCTCTCTCCCTCTATCTTAGCAAAATAATTGTTAAATTGCCATTTGATTTTAATTGATTGGAATTTTGTAGTGCCAGGCCGGTAACATGAGTGTTTGTCTTTCGGTTGTCCAATGTTTATGGAGTTGCCCTTAATTGTATTAGGCTATGCCAAATTGATTAATCTAATATGCCAGTGAGTGATGAAGTGCCACTCGCTCACTATTTACATTTCATTAGCAAATAAGGTGCGGATAGGTAAATAAATTGATTGGATTTATTACTGAAAACCATATATCCTGCTTATGATTTTATTGCTATCTAACCTTTAAATACTTACAAACCTGCCAATGTGATTAAACATTTCGAATTTTGGCCAGTGCATATACAGTCACCACGTAAATTAATCTGCCCACTCGGCACATGTAACTCACTCTGTCTCCCTGTCTCACACTACCCCTGTCTCACTCCCTCATTGCTCCATCTCCTTTATCTTCATATTCATATGTGCATTTTGTTACATGTTCGCGCGTATTTCCCTCATGGCTTGTTTCCAACCTTTCCTTTCCGCTCTCCCGGCCATTTTCCCTTCGGCCGCATTCATTTGCTGGTTTTTCTTCATTTCAGCTTTTGTGTTTTATAATTTATGCGCATTTTTTATTAAATATTTATGTTTGCGCCGAGTTTTCTAAGCCACACAACCGCACGCACTCCCTGTCCGTGGTATCATTTCCCTTTATGGCGTATTTACGCTCTAAAGCGTGTAAATGCTTTCCATTCCATTGTTTTCCCTGCTGTTGACACTTCCAAAATGGAGGAGGAGAGCATAGAAGGGAAGTAAAAGGGTTAAAGGTCACTCCCTCTCACGCACACACGCACACACACATTGTCATAAATAGTTTTGTTCAAAGCAACCGGAGCAACTGAAATTTAAGTTTCCAAACATTTTCTGTTGGCAAATTCTTGGTTAACTTGGGGGAAATTCTCTTTGGATTCTGGTCTTATTTTCCTTTTGGCCTTCAGGTATTCCTGTTGACATTTTACTTGGCTAATGCGAAAAAGCAATTTGCATTTGTACAATACAAATCCTCTGACATTTGTATTGAACAAATTGCTGGGTTATTATTTTCATGTAAAATATATTATAGACTTCGGTTCTGGTCGACCTTATTTGCATAATATATTCCCCTATTTATGCAGGGGAATTATTTGCAGGATAGCAGATTGAAATGATTGGATATTAATGAATGTATATAAGGGAAATCTTTAAAGAATAAGTTTATTACACTTTCCACAAGGTAAATTGTAAAAATATTTGTTCAGTTTTGAAACTTATGCATAAAATAATAAAAGGCAACCAATAATAATGAAAAACAAACTATAATCTCTAATTAAGTTCACTACAGAGAGTATCGTGTAAAAGCCTTATTCTTTTTAGTGAAAAGTGTTTATAATAACATACATCTCCCCCACGTCCAGTACATCTAAAGTAAATCTTCACTAATTGCACCTCGTTGTGCAATTAAATTGAATGTCAAAAAAGTGAATACAAATAGAGCCATCTGAGTGATTGATTGATTGATGGTTTGATTGGCTAACGAACAGTTGATGGCCGGGTCAAAGGAAACGAATGCGCCATGACCACGACAATAACGGCCAAGATTGCGCAACAGCAACAGCAACATCAGCAACAGAACCAGCAACAGCAACACCAACACCAAAATCACCAGCAGCATCAGCAACAACAACAACAACAACATCATCATCAGGCAACTAGCAATATGAATGGTTTTCGAATTACTGGCTATCCAGCTGCTGCCACGCCCCCCGCACGTACAAATCCCATTTACGCGAAACCCAACGCCCACGAACTAGACCTGCACATCAGCGAATCGCTTTTGTATCCAGGTAGCACCCAGCAACAACAACAGTTGCAGCAACAGGCGTTGCAAAGTTCGCCGGGTCCGCCACCGCAGTTGACCAGCATGCTGCCCAGTTCCGGATTGCCAGGAGCTGCTCAACCGATTGCACTAAAAGGAAATAATCCTTTCCTCAATAGTCCATCACCCACAGAGGTGGCACCCAGTGTACCCTCAGCAATATCTAGTCTGCCATCAGCAGCAGCAGCAGCAACATCCGCAAATTCTGGCAACTATGAAATGCCCGAGTATGCGGAACCTTCGCGATTGCGGGGTCTAAAGCAACGTCCTCATAGCATCGCAGTGGGTGGTGCACCAGCCTCCAGTTTTGTGGACTATAATGCCCAGCAGCAGCAGCGATTATTGCAGCTTTCACGCCAGCAGCAACAGTTACGTAATGCCGTCACAGCGGCAGCAGCAACAGCCAACGGTGGCGATAAGGAGACCTTGTATGCGGCATTATTCCAGCAGTACAGGCAGAGTCCTACAAATGGTCAGCCTGCACCACCGGTACCAATGCACCGGAAAACCAATGTGGCTCCGGTGGTTCCTCGAAGATCACAGAGCACGCCCAGGCCACCGCTGCAGCAGCAGCAACAGCAGCAACAGGCTGGGATAAATGGTCAGATCAATGGTACTGGAACCCAGAGACCCAGGAGTTTGGATCGTTTTCAATGGTGGCCTACAAACCGAAGCACCACCCATACCCCTAAGACGTTTTCCCAATGGAAATTCGAATAACAATGGAACTTTAGGCCGGCAAAAGAGTCCCAAGAAAAGTAGCAGTGCGGATAATATGCTAATGAGTCCGGCAGGAAGTCAGGTGAATACTATGCGACATTCCATAAGTTTTCATGGAAGTCAGGAGTCGGAAAATGGTACCAAAACTGAACAAACCAGGCCAATGAGCTATGCTGCCCCAGCACCAGATCAGGCCTACTTGGAACACCAGTTGAGAGCCTATTCCGAGCAACTGAGAACCATAACGGAGAGTGTAAGAAAGTACTCGGAACAGGCAAAATTACTATCGGAGCTTAAAAGACAACAGCAGTTGGCCAAGCAAAGTCAAACGAATCTCAACCTGCTGACGCCGACAACAACAACGACCTGCAATAATAGTACAGGCAACAATGGCAGCAACAACTTCCAGCCAAATATGATTTCCCCTGAGATTGTTAGCAAATCACTGGCCTCACTCTCCACCACTCAAGCCAATGAGGCCCAAACGCCTTCCAATCAATTGCGACTTTTTCTGGACAACATAAGGAGCAGCATGCGACAGGAGTACCAGCAACATATGCCCGAGGATGTCCTGAAACCGACGGCAACCTTAAAACGAAATGGTACAGATGTGAGTTCAGTCCCGGCTGCTCCAGTTCCAGTTTCTAAATCAGAACCAGAAGCCACGCCCACGCCCTCGGATCAACTGAGACAATTTCTCGATGCAATACGCGCCAATAAAATACCTGAAAATGTGGACAAACCCAAGCTGACAAGCTCACAAACTCTCGACTCGTTCATATCGAAGCCCTTGCAAATGCCAGATGTAACATCAGGAACGCCAGGTGGAGGTGTAGTGGGTGGAGCAGCTTCTGCCGGAGGAGTGGCTAATGGTCAGAGTAATGGCTTACCTACTCGTCGAAGACCGAAGAGTAGCATAATACCCGGCAGCAGTAATGGAAAACTAGAGCAACGTGAACATTCCTTGGTGACCTCGGAAAGCTTCCATCAAATATCCGACAATCTGAGACTCATGAGCGAGGATTTGCAGGCACTGAGTCCCAGCAAGGCAGTTCCCAGTTCGGCCAGCAGCAATAGTCTCAAGAATCTGGCTGCCAATGGGAATAGTTCGCTGACCACAGAACTGCGGGTCATAACCAGCTCACCATATAGCACCTCCCCGAAACTACAACAGATGGTGATGAGCAAGTCGAACAGCTCACTGGGATCAGTGACCACGCCCTCTAGTGCCACTACCACGCCCTCAACGGCACCCATGATCACTGATTTCAATGAGATCCTGGATAGTTTTCAGGCCATGGCCGATAAGTACAAATCGAAAGGTTCCTACGACTATTTGCGCAAGTGCTCGGAGGCCCTGCGTCAGCACTCGTTGCAATTGAAGTTGCAACAGCAACATCAGGACACACCAGCAGCAACAACTGTCTAACCATCAGCAACATCAGCAACAGCAGCAGCAACAGTTGCAGAACGGTTTCACCAGCGATGATAGTAGTTCTTGTAGTACAACTCCTGGTAGTATCCGGGAAGCGGTTCAGAATCTGCTCCTGCAGCCGAGAAACGGATTCCAGATCCTCGATGATCGCATGAGGTTGTTTATCGACATTATCGATAGTCAGGATCGGTTAAGTCAGGTGAGTTGGCTTTTTGGTGTAAAAATGAACATTTAGTTTGGTTTTCTTCATCATAATAAATCGGTTTGAAATATTTCTTTCCGATATCAACATATTTCATATTCCTCCTGTGTCAGCAGCAGGTTTTATTTATTTCTCAATGAAAAGTATTTCTTAACATATATTTAACTAATTTAAAAACCTTGTTCTACTTGCAGGTATGTACCCGCAAAAATTGCATTTTAATGAGTAAGTCAAGCATGTTTGGGAATAAATTTAAGAACCACCCACCCTACAGACCCAACACCATAAAATCACATGTACATCAGATACGATTTTATTGCCTTACATAATTCATCATCATCGAAATGACCAAGAGTCCGGGTCAATGCGCTTATCTCCGGCTGGCCAAAAGTCTTTCGGTTCTCCCACTCTATGTGGCTAAAAGCCATCAAATCAGTTAATGACCCAGAAAGTTAAACTTACGAGAGAGAGTGACAGAGAGCGGTGTGGGGGCGTGGATCAATTTCCATCAATTTTCACCAAATTTTCTGGGAGCCAATTAATTTTAATAAACTACAAAGTCATTTTGCTCAGCAAGTAAACTAATCTCGGCCGAGGCCCGAAATTGAAATTTTAATCAAGAATTTCTTGGTGGCATAGAGGCCATAAAACTTGACACACGCACACAACTTGTGATGCTGAAGTAATCAAGTGGAGAACAGCAAAGGAAAATTCCCAAATGTAGATAATCAGAGGGCATATCATCATCCTACCTACCATATATATATATATATATATGCTGAATAAATCAAACCCCATTTGAGGTTGAAGGCGGAAATGTCTGGCCGTCTTAATAACACCTTTTCGGTCCTGGATTCCCATGTCCTTCTGTTCACATAAAACAATATTGCTAATGACAAATGGGAACTAGTTCTAATTGTGGCTTTTGTCTGGCACGAAGATCTCGGTCCGGTCTTATCGCTCATTGCCTTTTCTGGTTTCCGGGCCTAATTTAAATTTATGCGGTCTGGCTAGAGGTGTGCGAGTATGTAAATGTTTATGTGTGAACGTGTTCGAGTCCTTTGACTCCTTGGGGATGCATGAACTGGCAAATTCGAGTTTATATATCACCCTTGATGAGTTTGGCGAACAAAGCTGGAAATGTGTCAAGCACAGTGCTTTGCGACAACGTAGGGTCCTTTGTTATCAGATTCAAAGTCAATAATTTAAAGGGAAGTCGTTGGTACCAAAAACTAGAATGGTTTTGTTAAAAACAGAGCTCCTTATATTTACGCATCTAAGGGTACTTCTAAATTCCCTAAAAATACTTTTCTGTCAATTAGCTAACGAAATTCCTACTTGCATAAACCAAACTGAATATAGCCAATTAAAAATGAATGCAAATTGTGTGTTCTTCTGTGAAGTTCCAGATGGAAATAAATTGCTATTTATTTGAGACAATTTTTGGGTAAACAATTTCACCTCCTGGAGGCTTGCCTGTTTATTTCATTTAGGCAAATGGCAATGGCAATGGCATTTGCATGTATTTGTGTTTTGCCAACACAAAACGCAAACAATAAAAGTTTAATGCTATCCATGAAAGGGAGGCACACACACATACTCAGACACAAGGTGCTGCCAAAAAGTATGCTACTCATAATGCAATTGCAAACAATTACACAGGACTGAAGTAATTGCATTTTCACTGCACACACACTCTTCCATACAACAATTCACAATTTACAATTTGCATTACAAAGTAATTATTTCTGCAACAGTGCAACCGGGTTTGTGGCCTTTCTCTCCCCGCCGGAATGACTCTTTTACACAATTTCCACAATTTTGTTTAGCAAATGAAGTGCAAAATCAACGCGCTGTCCACAGGACCAACAGCTTTTTTGGTCATTCGACTATTGACAGGCCTGGCCGAATGACATTTATTTTAATTAGCTCCGCAAAAACAACAAAAGCGAACTGGCGCAACGGGTATTATGTCCAGGAGGACTCCCGCGCCAGGACCCAGAATTCACTTTTAGCCTCGCTGCAATTAACAAATGCAATTTTGTGGCCTTTAATGTTTATTGTCTGCATTTATTTTCGCGGCTCTTTGTGGATGTATTGGTGTGCGGGTGTGCGAGTCTGCATTGTTTGAAGAGGCGTGAAAACCCAAAAAATAACTTTTTAATTACTATAACGGACATTGCGGTTAATTACACTGGACAACATGGTTGGCGATAAGCCAATTTGTTAGGTTCAACATGGAACAATGTAGATTGAATAAAAGAGTGGCAGTGTTGAAAAGAAGTTTCCAATTTTTTAATTGGTTAATTTATTTATGTCAGTAACTTCAGTTAAAATCACTTTTGGTGGGCTCTATTCAATTTTTTTATGGCAAAACCATTTAAAGTTTATTAAAGTGAAATAAAAACCTTTTGTTCAGCAACAAAAAAAGAGTTTTTCATAACCAAAAATAAACTAATTTAAATTCATCCCTTAATGCTTTGGCTTTTTTGCCAATTAATCGTTGATTGACCTGCAGGCCAGTGTACTTTTTACACTATTTGATTAAAAACCGCAAAAGCAACCATCAAAGTGCGTGCTTAAAATAATTGCAATCGCGGAGCGCTGAAAACGCAGGGCTCAGGTGGCAAAACGCGGTGGCTAGGAAGGGATTTGGATGGCAATTTCCGGCCATTGTCAACGGCTTTCAATTGGAGGCTCAACGCCTTGTTTGCCATGGTGCCACGCCCTATGCCCCTCGTAACGCCTCTCTTGACCATGTCCGCTTATTAATTGCATGTCATAAATCATGATTATGCCACTTGCTGACCAACCGCTGGGCTAGTCGCAGTTATTATTATTAATCTTTGTCGCCCACACAAATACACCAACACACACACACCTAGGCGTATCCCTGGGGAGGGGGCGTGGCAGTAAGTGAGAGGGAAATCCCATGTGAGGGAGGGTGAAAGGGAGACAGAGCACAGTCAGCCATATGTTGAAGCCATGTAAATTGCGATGTTCATTCCGCCGACCAGGCCTATCTTGATTAATTGCAAAAGTTTACCAGGACACAGGTCCAGGACCAGGACATCGGACCCTGGTAGCATGGAAATATGTCAGCTGCTTCCCTTTTCTGGTGGCTCAACAACAAGAAAAACACTGGCCAACAAAAGCGGCCAACAAAAGTCCTGGTAACAAGCTTCATAACACGCGTATGTTGTCGCGTAAATTGGTTTTAATATTTAAAGCACTTCATTACTTACTGGCAGTAAGGGACAGCGAATTGCAGTCCAGCAAGGAAGAAAGAAAGGGACAGGAGTAAAAAGAGACGGCATACACTGTAAAGCCGCCGAAAAGCAGGCTACAAGCAAGCGGCTTAATCAAGTGAAATTGAATCAACTTTTTCGGTCTCCGGAGAAAACTGTAAATTAAATTTTAAAAATTGCACCAATTTCATTTTAATTTGGATGGGACAAGGTGACAAAAGTTTACAATCACAAATTGTAAGAAAAGTTTTAAAGTTTTTTAAGTCTTGAGAAAGAATTTTTTAATTTACGCCCTACGACATTGAAGTTCTTATTATACTACCATCATATTTGGCAAAAAAAGTCCATGAATCTAGATAAATAAATCTAGAGAAATCGGGAGATCTACTCAATGATAAATCTAGTAAAATAGCTGAAACGCAGGAAGTACAGGAAGCTGTAAGGGATGAAAATGAACGTTCAAATCTATCACCAGAATCAAAAGATATAGGCTTGCAAGATTTAAAGTCTACGAATCAAGATCCGTAATGCTGGTCCGACATCGAAAATGTTCCAAAATGAATCGATAATCGACTTGAATGATACAAGTGAGGAACAAGATGAAGAAGTAGAATTCACATCAGAAGACGTAAAGATTAATCTTCCCAGTACCCAAAATCAACCACAGTCAGGTGAACAACGGGCCAAAATTCCAGTTACTGAAATAAACGAAGTGATTGACTTATAATTCCTAAAATTGAATACTAAATGAGAATTCTCATTCGTATTCATCTCTGAACTCCCCTAGAAATCAGAAAGCAATTCAAAGATTTAGCTGAGATTAAATTCAACCTCGATTGGGGAGAAAAGAAACTTTCAAAAATAGCCCGGCGAAGTAAACAATTTCATTTTTTGTCTGGCTCCTTTTTAGTACTTTCTTCTTTTTGTGGAAAACAAAGCGAAGAGATCTAAGCCGACAGGAGACGAAACGAGACTGTTTGCATACTTTCAGGCGCCTCTGACAGGGCGTCATATGCAATACACAACAAAGTGCATATGCGTAGTTATCTGTCCTCTCCCTTTCTCGTTACGCTTCACCCACTATCTCCATCTCTTTTTATGGACGCTGCAGGCAATCGAAGGCAGATCCTTGTCTTTTCCATTTTTTCCCTGCTGATTTTTGACATATTTTCTCTGGCAACAGCAACAGCAGCAGCATAGCCGGCAAACAAACTAACAAACTTCGGGGCGTTTTTCAGGTGCAACTGGGTTAACATGGCTGCAATGGAAATTGCTGCAAGAAAATGGGATGCTGCTGCTGATGGGTGGAGTGTGGGGGTTCGTAAGGGCGAGTGCTATGCAAATGCCGTCGGAAAATGGATACAACAAAAGGGAAAAGTGCGGCGAAAAAATCTGAAAAACTGCTCGTAGTAAACGAAATGCATTCGCCGTTTTCGCAATTTGTTCAACCACCCCCGCGCAACCCGCAATTCGCTTTTTGAGCATATGCAACAGCTCAATTTTGTATTGAATGGCCCCCTGCACTTGCATCAAATTCAGCTGATTTTTTATCTTTTTTCCTGAGATTGTTTGTGTTTGAATGGCAGCTTCATTAATGAGAATATTCATTCGACAGACAATGGGAGTCGAGATCGGAGTTTTGGTTTTAA